AATCTTAACATCAACAAGAAGCTATTGAGAAGATAAAAAGATTACCGTCATTGAGTATTGCAATTATCAGAACCATGAACGGTGGAAAGTCATATTCCCATATCAACGCTAAAAGTGTAAAACCAAGCTGCATGAAAAAAATGGTAAGAAGATAAAGCTCAAGTAGATGTAACTCCACTAACATGAGTTAGATCATGTATCATGAAGCTCCTTACCACTATTCGTATGGTGATCGAGACTGCATATACCTGCAGATGCGTACTTGATTAGTCGGTATTTCAGAGAAATCATAAGCAACTTCAGAATTTCATCGAACTAGTTGAAATTCATATACGATATTATATCTTTAGCTATGTGGAATGAGATGCTATTATCTTTAGTACTTAACTGTATAGTTCTTCATCCGCTGGAAAATGGCTCTGCTGGTCAAGACAGCACTGATAATTACACTTAAGCCAGGTTCAGTTAGTACTATGTCAGCAGAATTTCTTGCGGCATCTGTTGAATCCGCGACAGCTATTCCAATGTCAGCTTTTTTGAGAGCAGGAGCATCATTCACTCCATCTCCGGTCATTCCAACCACATGCTTCTTTTCTTGTAAAATCTTTACAATCTCATACTTGTGTTCTGTAACATGAGAGACAAACAAAAAAAAAAAAACGATTGGGATCAGAAATGAAAGCAAATATGAAACTCTGTAGATATTAGGATTGTGTTGTGATTATGACCAGGGAATACTCCAGCAAATCCATCTGCCATTTCAATTAGCTCATCCAGTGGAATGGCTTCATGCTCATCGTTGTTGTGGCCTAACAAAGAGGAAGAAGGATACATGTTGGTTCCCATCCCAAGACGTCTGCCTGTCTCCTTTGCAATCGCCAATTGATCACCTACATTTTTCCAAAGTTATCATCAGCTTTTTATTCATTTTCCCGGATTTTTATCGGTTGCATCTGTGAGCCCAAGCAAGTCTATAAAGCTCTAGGGTAGGTATTCATGAAGGAATCTAGCTCCATTGCTTAAGACTTACCGGTGATCATCTTAACGCAAACTCCAAGGTTAAGAGCTCTAAGGATGGTTTCAGCGCTGTCATGCCTTGGAGGATCAAATAGTGGCAACAGACCACAGAATCTCCATGGTCCTCCAGGACTATTGCTGCTTTTCTCTGGGATTTCCTAGAAACAATAAATGATGCAATGCATTGGAGTAAAATGTCATTATAATGTTCTTCGTCAAAAGTGAACTTACGATAATAAATCAAGAGAGAAAAGGAGAGGAAAATGATGTTACCTGATAAGCAACTGCAAGAGACCTCAAACCTTTTTCTGCAAATCTATCAATGATGGCATAAACTCTTTGCACAATCTCATTTTTCTGTTGACACAAGCTTAGAACCTATAATATAGTACAGTTGGATCAGTGATGGTATTTCTCCCATGGACTCAGAACAAACAAATTACAATTATTTTTTACATCCAAAAGTTAGTTTGGTAGTGCCAAGAATATGGTGACAGTTTGCTACCTGTTCAGGAGCTCCTTTGGTAGCGCGATACCATTTCCCATCGGAATCAATATATGTGATTGCAGTACGTTTGTCCACGGGATTGAATGGGAAGAAATGGGTTTCTTTAATGTTTGCACGTGCCTAGAGATAAACAACCTTTGTATGAGAAAAACTTCTAAGAAGGTGACAATAGTCTTATAAAAAGAGAATTCATGTAAGAGAAACATCTCTACCTCTCTGGGATCAGCAAGCATGCTAACAATTGCTGCATCTATAGCATCCTGATTTTCTAGTCGTGAAGCTCGTCCTGCAAGCAACAATATTGTGTCCCTGTCCATGTAGTCAACGAAAACCTGTGCAGATGGATTAGCACATTTAAACACCTAGCAGAGAGAACATAAAAGCAACAGTTTCTTTAACTGTATTATTCTTTACACTTGAAATGCAAGTCATAGGAGAAGTATTGGTACCTCAATAAGATTTTTATCAACAGTAAGAGTGTTCAAGGTAAGTGTTCCAGTTTTATCACAGCAGAGTACATCCATCCCAGCCATTTCCTCTATTGCGGTCATCCTTTTCGTAATGGCACCCTTTCAGAACAAGAAGAAGCAAATTATTGCTAAAAACTGTTTTAAAAGAGTAGCAAATACCATCGAGAAATGACACCAAGCATTGAACCTGTTGAGAAAGTCGATGAGATCCAATGGCAAGCGTGACAGATAGCACAGTGGGCATGGCAATGGGTATCCCTCCAATCAGGAGTACAAGAAGGTTATTGATCCCAATTCTATAGGAGCGATGTTGTACAGGGAACATGACAATGATTTCAAGAACCATTCCAACAGCAATAGAGCAAATGCAGAAGTTTCCAATTGATGTAAGAACCTAGAAGAAAACATGTCAAAAGGAAAAATGTCTATGTTCTTGCAAGCTGCAGACTGTATTTCACCACTTATAACCGAACAATTGGTTCCAGTCAGAAGACTGTATCAACCAAAAGGGGGAAAAAGAATGAGCGACAAAGAACCTGCTGTAAATGTCCAGTTGAATCTGTACTGTCCACCAAGCGTGCTGTTTTACCAAAGAATGTGCTCGAACCAGTGGCTATCACAACAGCTTCTATTTCACCTTGCTTACAAGTAGAACCAGAAAAGACTTGCTCACCCTTTTTCTTGGTCACAGGTAGCGATTCTCCGGTTAGCACTGACTGCAGGAATATATATATTTAGCTATTCTATCAGACTCGGTCATCTACGTAATGCAATTAAAGATAAGAGATGCCAAATCATCAACACATGCCTGATCAATTTTCAAGGGGTCTCCTTCAAGAAGACGAGCATCTGCAGGAATGATATCCCCAAGCTTTATGCTAATTATATCACCAGGTACCAAAATAGACGCATCTTGCTCCTGCCACTGTCCATCTCTAAGAACCTATAAGAGGGGATCTTAATCAGATTTAAGGTAAAATGGAAACAGCTAGCTTTGCAGTTTTGGCTCATTGAAGTCAAAGTCCATGAATACTCTTGTTCTTAGAGCCAAGCGAGCCATAAGAGCTGCAGCAGCATTCCCAGCATTGTTTTCTTCAAAGAAGCTGATTGTTGCGTTGATCAGTAAAAGGCAAACGATTCCAACAAAGTCTTTCCAGTCAGGACCCAAGCTCTGTGATATCAATTTTCACCATGAGTTTCAAGGTGTATATAGCAAAGAATTAGAAAAGATTTCAAAAAAAAAAACTCTTACTTCACTATATGCGAGTGCGATTGCCATCAATGCTGCAGCTTCCATAACCCACGACAGTGGATTCCACATAAAACCTAGGAATTTCAGAAATTTGTTCTCCTACATCATTTTTTTAAACAGAGTTAGCACAACACTCTCACATATTATCCAAGCTCCAATGTAAAAAAAGCACACAAATCTCATGGCATTTTGAAGATGTCCTGTTTTTATTACCTGTTTCTCTTCAAGTCTGTTAGGACCAAAGATGTTCAATCTTTCTTCAGCATCTCCAGATAAAAGCCCCCGAGGCGATGTTCTCAGGTATTCGAAAACTTCCTCCAATGGCACTAGACCCTGTGTCAAAACCCTTTTTGCCACTATGAATCTAAAGCATATTATAGTAAAAACAAAAGGAACCCCACAGATAATTTACCAAGTCGATTCCTTGTCTGTTGAAAGTATCAGGATCAAGCAATGGATTTTCTAAATCCTCAGCCATGCTTAAAGCTTCAAAAGACCCAGATATGATGACACGAAGAAGACACTTCGTCTCGGAGAAGAAAAGTCCAGGAACAGGAACCCTTAAAAAAGGGTCCAGGAATGTTGAAACCACCATTCCATGGCTGACCAGTTGATGAGATTCTCCTGCAAGTCATTAATGGAAGGCATCAGAGTTTGAGAATAGTAGATGGGAAAGAGGAAGAGGAAGCAGAGAGAAACAAGTGTGGTTGATCTCTCACTTGTCGACCTAACGGTCACTAACGATCCCATTTCGGACTTGGATTGTTTATATGGGCCGGCCCATTGAAACTGATTTTACAGGTCCAATCCCTTCCTTCATGTGCAATGATTTTACTGGCCATATGTTTGAGGCTTCAACAGTCTCTCTATAGATGTTTCTCTACGATCCCATTTTTAAGGCTTTGATTTTTAATATGGACCGATTGGGATTAAACTAAACAATTGTCATTGCAAATGCTGTGCCATATGAAATTTTTAGCTCCATTTCGTTGTAACTGATTAATTAGTTGTACATAGAATGTTGTTCAACTTTGACTTTATTTATCTTCTTTCACGAACAAACACTAAAAACACTTACAGTTTCAGAAGCTGTCTGCAACCATCAAGATCGAGAATCTCTCCTGTGGTTCTCCGGAAACGTTTCTTCTTCTGTTTCTCCTCTGAACTGGAATCCATCCATTGATTGTTGCTCATGGGAAGGAATAACCTGCGGTGATGATTCACTGGATAGTCGCATCACTGCTATCTCCTTGCCCTTTAGAGGACTATACGGCAAACTCCCTTTGTCTGTTCTGCATCTCCACCATCTCTCTCAACTCAATCTTTCTCATAACCGTCTCTCAGGTCCTCTCCCGCCCGATTTTTTCTCATCCCTTGATCTGCTCATAGTTCTTGATCTTAGTTACAACAGCTTCAATGGTGAGTTGCCACTTGAACAAGCATTTGGAAACGGAAGCAACAGATTGTTCATCTGTCGAGCAATTTTCTCCAAGGCGAAATCCTTAATAGTTCTGTTTTTCTCCAAGGGGCTATCAGTTTGACCAGTTTCAATGTCAGCAACAATAGTTTCACAGGTCTAATCCCTTCGTTCATGTGCATGAGTTCACCGCAGCTTAGCAAACTGGATTTCTCATATAACGATTTTAGCGGCCATATCTTCCAAGGATTAGGCAGATGTTTGAGGCTAAGTGTTCTACGAGCAGGCTTCAACAATCTCTCTGGTGAAATCCCAAGTGACATCTACAATCTTTCCAAGCTCGAGCAACTCTTTCTGCCAGCCAATCAGCTTACTGGAAAGATTGATAATAACATCACCAGGCTCAAGAAACTAACGTCGCTTGAGCTTTACTTCAATCACCTCGAAGGAGAAATACCAATGGACATAGGAAAGCTCTCCAGCCTCCAACTCCATATCAATAACCTTACTGGTTTAAGAGCCTTAGCATTCTAGATCTCGGAAACAATAGCTTTAGCGGTGAACTCCCATGGAAGGTTTACTTCTGCAAATCTCTAACAGCGATGAGGCTTGCAAGCAATAAGTTAACAGGACAGATATCTCCTCAAGTACTGGAACTTGAGTTCCTATCATACTTGTCTTTTTCAGACAATAAACTAACAAACATCACAGGCGCTCTCAGCATTCTGCAGGGCTGCAGGAATCTGTCCACTCTCCTAGTAGGGAAGAATTTTTACAACGAAACACTTCCAAGTGACAAAGACTTAGTTTCCGCAGATGGATTCCCTAATCTCCAAATATTTGCCAATGGTGGATCTGGATTAAGAGGTGAAATACCAGCTTGGCTGATCAGCTTGAAGAGCTTAGCAGTCATGGATTTGTCCCACAACCAGCTTGTAGGGTCAGTTCCTGGTTGGTTGGGAACTCTTCCCCACCTTTTCTACATCGATCTCTCGGATAATCTTTTTTCAGGAGAGATACCAAAGGAAATATTTCAACTAAAGGCTCTGATGTCCCAAAAGGACTACGACACAACAGAAAGGAACTATCTTAAGCTGCCTCTTTTTGTCAATCCCAATAATGTTACAACTCATCAGCAATACAATCACCTGTCAAGCCTTCCACCTGCGATCTACATAAGAAGAAATAAACTGAAAGGAAGTATACCCGTCGAGGTTGGTCAGCTAAAGGTTCTTCATGTCCTCGAGCTTTCTCATAATTATTTTTCTGGAAGCATCCCACATGAGTTGTCGAACCTCACCAACTTAGAGAGGCTTGACCTATCCAACAATCATTTATCTGGTAAAATCCCTTGGTCGCTAACAAGCCTCCATTTTATGTCCTATTTCAATGTGGCAAACAACAGTCTCGAAGGGCCAATACCCACAGGAGGTCAGTTTGATACTTTTCCAAAAGCACATTTTGAAGGAAACCCCTTGTTGTTCGGTGATGTACTGCTGACTTCGCGCCCGGCTCCAACCCAGCCACCTGCTAAAACCACAGATGAAGTGAAGATAACCAGAGTATTTATAATGGGAGGTGCCATTGGATATCTTTTTACCTTCAGTTTGATGTTACTATTACTCCGTTACTATGTTGGTGTGAAATACAAAGAGAGTGATGATTTTGATATATGAGCTCCTCCCGTTACTATTACTCTCTTTGATAGTTTTAAGGTATCAAAGTTGTGTCAGAACAACCGATTTGATGACCAAGGAATCTAGCGGGTTTGTTGACATGGAGTCCAAAGTATGACAGAGAAACTTCTTTCATCATCAGAGTGCCAAATTATCAGTGAAAGACTGAAAGTGACCAAAATGAAGACCAAATCACATCAAGCTTAACAATAAACAACTTAAATTGAGCATTTCAAACCGAAAACAACAAAAATGCTCCAATGAGACAAGTGCAGAAACCGAGGCATTTCACAAGAATCACAGGACAAAACATTGCAAAAGAAAAACAGCAAAGAGAAGAATCTGGAGGGGCGCGTCATACCTGGAGATGAGAGAAGAGCGAAATTCAAAAGGATATATTTTTTTACATCGTTATAGAGATACACCCTTCTATTACAAAATTTTAGTTTTCGGTTGACTTGCAAAATTTTTACAAAACATACCCTCATGTGCCTTTTGCAAGAAAATTCTAATAGTGAACTGAATATTGTATTTCTTAAACTATAACTAATTTGGCTGTAACTTACATTATCCAATTTGGCCATTTGCAAGTAAGTCAATTAAAAAAGAAAACTAAAACAGGTAGAAAAAAGAAATCTTCAAGGACTTTTATAATTAAGAAAATAGTCAAAGAAAAGAAA